CTGCCACTCCCCTTACACACACACAATCACTGAGCCACTGTCCGACCTGAGAGTCCCTCCAGAGCAGCACTGTTCAGTCTGTGCTCCTGCCCCCGCGACGAGACAGAAGGGACCACTGAAGATTTCGCTGCTGGGGACTGGTATGTCAATTCCTGGACAGTGTTCCCACACACTCATTTGGCAAACAAAAACATGACCATTGGTGGCTTTCATTATTCGCCTTTCTGCTAATATGGGCTCTATATTCACCATCAAGACTAAACAAAAACTACACAGTCATCAGAAAGATTTAAGTAACTTTGACTTTTTAAAAGTAATTTAAAGTCTACTTTTAAAGTTAATTTAACTCTATGAAAATACCGACCTTAAACAGTGTATCTTGGAGTCGGGAAGAACCGTGAGATGATGCTCCCTGAAGCAGCAGGTCCTGAGCCCACCAATAACTTAGAAAGTGTCCATCTCCAAGACGCTCACTTGCTGCTCGAGGACCACCCTCAGTCACATAATGCCACAGCCACCTCCTGCAGCATCCTACGGTCCTGGGCCTAGCAAGCTACCTTCAACTCCTTCTTCTCCCCATGCCAGGCCACCAGGCTGAATCCCTGCCTCTTGTTCCCAACCTAAAGGCATCACACTGGCCTCTTTGGGATATGATGCCACGTTCCAACCAAACCTGTTACATTCAGAGCACAGCAGGGATTTAACTCAAGAAAAACTCTGTGCAGTTAAGATCTCGGTCATCCACAGATCCTTACATGTTCTTAATGTTAAAATGAGAAATAACGGCTCCAAATTCTAAGCAGCCAAGCTAATCCCCAGACTGGCCGACGCTGACTTTGTTTTGAACATGTTTTCTAAAGCACGGCTCCCTTCCTCTCTCTGCTGACACCACACACTACACTGGCTCCTACCCTGTCCCACAGTCCATCCTTCCTCCAGGACACCAGCCTGACCCTGTGGTGTGCTGCCACCCACTCACCCGAGTGTTCTCCATCCCCAAGAAAGCCCAGGAGTCTCGGGTCACCATTGCTGCTGGAGATCGCTGTCACTTCAGGTGAGCTCTACCATTCCTTCTCTTCTTAATTCCTTTCTACTTTCTCTTTTTCCATTTCTGCTCCTCCTCCCAGACTGGTCAGCTTCCAAAGTCTTTTGCTTGTCTTCTGTAGTGCTGGGATTTGAACCCAGGGCTTTGTACAAGCTGAGCCCTGCCTCAGTGTCCCGCATTGTCATCATCTCCTCCCACCCCCCAGGGCAGGACATCATCAGGTAAAGTTGACTGTTAGTCCTTGCTCCTCAGCGCTGTTTCTCCAGACCTTCACAGACCTGGCAGGCAGCACGTGCCCAACGCCTGATAAATATCTAGAGATGGGAAGAGCTAACGAATTGGGTGTCTGAAGCTCCCGAGACCAATACCTCTAAGAGCTCCTAATTGTAGGCAGCAGGGCTCCTGCCCTCTGTCTCAGGATTCCCTCAGAACAGCACTTCCTGCTTCCTCTCCTGCTAACTCTCCCCAGGAGCCAAGTGAAACCCGCTGCCATGAGAACCTCAGAGGCCAAAACGCTGAGAGGTTTGCAGCCTAAGCACCACCTGAACTTTGTCACCTGTTTCGTCTTTGAACATCTCTGCTCCTAAGTGGGTACTCATGTGGAAATGAAATGCAACACGGAATAATAATCCCCCAAAATAGGGTGAGTCATAGGGTCCCTGCTCTTGTATAGCTCAGAAACTAAGTCCCCAGAAAGACTGAACCACTTGGTCAAAATCTTGCAACCAACCAGCGGCAGAAGGAGGACTGATTTTCAATTACTATTCCAGGCTCCCTCCTGATCAAGCACAGTCCCCTCTCCTCTTGAGCTGACAGCCCAAGACCCCAGTTTCCACCATGCCAGGTACATAGACAGAGACGAATCTGATTTTACCTGCTGGTTGCAGTACCTCAAGGTGCAACCCCAGGCCACACAGGTCTTTCAGCCTAAAAGACTCACAAAAAGCAGTGCCAGAGGGCCCTCGTCAGAAGCTCCAGCATGTACACAAACACCTGTCTTCCAGAACGCCAGTGTTTACTGTGATGATGAGCCAGAGCAAAGATAATCAACTGGAAAACTCACACACCAGTCCTCCCAGTACTGGGGAGCTTGTGATCTAACTACAGGCCGCAACCCAGGTGGGCAGTGGACACCCATCCTGTCAGCATTTCTACCTGTGTGAATTCTCTTTTCCTGCCTCGTGCTGCTCTCTTCCCTCTCACTAAGAGATACAGTGACCTCCTTTGAAATACCTGCTTTTCTACTAGTGAATTTTGATTTCTCAGGAAAACTTTAAATGCAGGTAGATGTATATTCAGGTACTACACACATTACCCAAGTTTAACAAAACCCCAGCATGTTAAATCATAACCAATCAAAACCTGCCAATGTCTACATCTCGCCTTCCAGCTAGAACAAGGAATTCTAGATCCCACCGGAGAGTAGCGGGCCTGGACAATGGCCCAGCAGCATGCTGCTGAGCCTGGTGCTTTCTTAATGATCCCACAGGGGTATGGGGCTCCAAGGTCAATTGGGGGTGCAGGGTTTATATCAAGGGGACAAGGAGCCCACTCAAGAGCTTTAAACAGGGTGTGGCTGTCAAGGTATACCTGAAGAGATCATCAGGGCTGCCATGTGATGGATTCAAGAAGGAGACAACCAGCAGAGGTTGGTAAGAAGCTCCACCTTAGAGATGGAAGGATGGAGCAGACTGGAAATACAGTTCTGAGAAAGAGGCTACGAGGCTAGGGTAGGAAGTACTGTGGGGAACAGGAGAAACAACTGCTCTTAGCTTTGGAGCCTGAAAACCCAGTGGACAGTGCTGCCACCTGGTGAGATGGGATGTGCAGGTTCTTGTCAATGGGAGTTCACACTGTCTCTCCACCAAGCCCTTCCCGTAGCAGAGACACTGCACCTTAAATTATTCTTGCTTTGAGGGGTGAGGGCTTCGAACCTGGGGCACTTTACCACTGAGCCATACCCAGAGCCCTTTTTGTTTTTTATTTTGAGACAGGGTCTAAGTTGTTAAAACTGGCCTTGAACTTGCAATCCTCCTGCCTAGGCCCCCTGAGTCTCTGGGGTTATAGGCATGCACCATCATGCCCAGCTTGCACTTTATTCTTGGCATAAGTCATATTAACCAAAAAAAAAAAAAAATGAACAAAATAATGTCAAAGCAAAGCAGCAAAAGGAATGAGAAACCACCAATCATTGATACAAATTCTGACCAGCTACCCAGCTACCTAACACATACCTGTTACATCTGCCAGCATCACTCCCCACAATCCAAAAAGGCGACAATGTATATGAACTTCAATGAAATTCATGGATACCAGGTCCAGGACATCTCCCTAAATTACATGCCTGTTAACTATGTCAAGTGCAGCAGCAATAATAACTTCTGGTTTTCCATGTCTTGTTTCTAAGCTCATGCACTGATCCAAACAATCACCTTTCTCCATAAAAGCTTCAGAGGACACAGGGTCTCATTAAGTTGCTGAGGCTGGCTTTGAACTTGTGACCCTCCTGTCTCAGCCTCCCAAGTCACTGGAAGTACAGGCATGTGCCACCATGCCCAGCTTACACTATTCCTTTGCATCTTCAGATCTGACCTTATTCTGGGTTCCTGCACTTTTGCTCCTAATTCAAGTTCTGTCATGAGCCTGTATTAACTCAAGAAAAGTCTGACACTGAGTCAGTAGCCTAAGCAACCGGCTATATGAAGCTCAATGGAAGTCCTGGTGCAATCCACCGCTCCTGTACAAATTCCAGGCATGCATCCTTCCTCCAGCTTATGCAAGGTCTTTTCCACACACTAACAGCCTCTCTGAATGTGCAAACTGTCCTGGGGCGCTTCAGTACCACAGTGGTTGGGACTAAGTACTGGCAGGTATTTCCCAAGTACAGAAATAAATCACAATCACAGCACTCAAGCAGAGCTCCTTGCCTCCAGACCCATTAGCCTTGCACCTCAAAAACACCATGCCACAAGTGGAGTCCCTGTCCAGTAAAATCCAATTGTTCTAATCAAGCTGCAGTGAGGAGAAAATTAAACCCCCATGGCAGAGCAGAGACGAGGGTACATTTGCATCAGTTTTCAGAATCCGAGTCATATCACAAGCATAAACTGAGGAACAGTTCCTGAGACCCACTGTGCGCACTAAGCTCTCGGAGCTCAGGTTCCAGGCAACAGAAATACTCCTGACACCTACTATGTGCCTGCCAAGAATTCTGGGAGCTCGGGCCCAGGCCAGCCCGGCACCTACTAAGTGCAGGATCAGCGCTCCAGGGCACAGGGCTGCGGGCCCGGGTCAGCCCGGCGCCCGCGGCGTGCACGCCCGGCGCTCCCTGAGCTCGGGCGGCTGCGACAGTCCCGGCGCCCGCTGCGCGCACGCCCTGCGCTCCCGGCGCCCTGGGGCTCGGCTGCGGCCCGCGGGTCGCTCCGCCGCGCGGCCCCCGTCCTGCCTCCCCGCGGCCGCCACCGCCCGCCTCCCCGCGGCCCGGGCCGA